AATGTTATGCAAGTTGTTGAGCCATTTGTTATCATTGCACTTGTATTTGGTAAGCATGCTGCATATTAACAACAAAGAACATAATCATGAATGCAAATGAAAATAATATTGGACCATAAAGAACAAACAATTTAAATAGGAAGTACATTGGTATAATTAGAATCTTATATAGAAGAAAGAACATATAATGAAAAAAAATGTTTAAATTAATATATAAAGAACAGTGCAAATTAATCAAAGAGCACACTTAACCAATGAAGAGAAAATATGTTATTTAACAAAGAACATAAAAGTAAACAATAAAGAACATAATGGTGATGATTAATGATCATGAGTCTAACTAGAAAAGAACATATATTATTTTAGAGCAATTATAAATTGTGAGATATTAAAGGTTACCTGGACCAATAATGCTCAAACTCAGCCATTGTATCAGTGTACTTCAAAACAATATCAAATAAATCATTGAAACCTTCCTTTGCTCTTAGTCCCTTGATGTTCTTTTTAGCATTCTCTCCAATGTGCCAAGTACATAATCGATGACGACTATTAGGAAATACAATCCTAATGGCTTTAGCCATTGATTGAGCTTGGTCGGTCATTATAGTGATTGGATGTTTGTCACCCATTGATCTCAAAAAAGTGTTGAATAGCCACTCAAAAGACTCCCACTTTTCATTGATCACAAATCCAATACCAAACATGACATTCTTGTTATGGTGATTCATGCCAACAAAAGGACCACATATCATACCGTATTTATTTGTCCGATATGTAGTATCATGTACCAAAAGATCTCCAAATGCATCATAATCAACTTTCATCCTACTATCACGAAAGAAAAAGGACTATAGATGACCTTTTTCATCAACATCAAAATCATAGTAAAAATCATACTCCTTTGACTTCCTTTCTTTAAAGTAAGAAATCAATTGTTTTGTGTCACAACCATCAAACTTCTTTTTCTTTTCCCCACTCAAAGCAACATAAAAGATCTCTTTGAAGAAAACTAAGATTGGCTTCACCGCCAGCTTGATCCCTTATAACACGATATGCATCAGCAATAGGTATACCATTTTCAGACAAACTAGTAACCATGGCAAGCTGATCACCACTAACCTGTATATAGTATATTTTAACACATGTTCATTATCGTTTCACGTAATGTACATTGAAACAAATCATAATGTTCTTTGTCATATATACATGTACATTAATTCTGAATTAGAAAAATGAGCAACAGAAAATCATATTCATTATCATTTTACACATTGTACATTGAAATAAAACCATAATGTTCTTTTCCACATATATACATGTACATTAATTCTGAATTATAAAAATGAGCAGAAGAAATGAATGTACATTGCAAAATTACAAAATGTTCATTTAATATATGAATTATGTTCATTAAAATGTTCACTAACCTTTCTGTGAGATCTTATCAAATGTCTCTTTGAAACGGGAACCCTACTGTGATTATGCTCCATTTCATGTTTCACCACGCAATATAAACCAGACTCCTTATCAACATCAAACTGGATGTATGCTTTGCAACCAGTACGAAAATCCCTTTTTTGGTACAAAACATCACTCTTTATTTTTTTGAAACCAGCATAAGAACATGTTAAAAATCGTAGCCTTACTGTCTTATCATTCCTTGTTTTTTTTGTCTCCTTTACGTGTACCGAATCCATGCTTAAAAGCATATGAATTGTATAATTCACAAGCTTCTTCATCAGACTTCACTTTTCTAAAAAGTAACTCTGAACTAGTAGATTCTGTGAAGCCTAAATATAAATGAATATTGTAGTTATATTAAATGAATATATTATAATAAAGATAAATATAACTTTGATGTAATGCTCATTGTATAATATTATAAAGAACATAAAGTTTAAATCAAATGTACATAATGTAATACAATAAAGAACATTGTAACTATTATAAACGGACAAAAAAGAAATTCAGTAAAAGTACATAATTGCAATTTAGAATGAACATCATCTTCAACCATTGTATAATTAATGAAAAAAAAACCAGAGCAGAATGAACATAAATGTAATTTAGAATGAACATCATCTTCAACCATTGTATAATTCAAAAAATAACAGAGCATAAACTAATGCAATAATTATTGATTAAAATTTAACATAAATACAATAACAAGGTCAGGATTCAATTCAATTATATATATATTTAGCAATTAATTAATAATTTGCATAAAATTCAATAAAATTTCCAATTACATTCATCAAATTCAATAAAATTACAAAATCAATGAGAAAAATATATTTACCTTTTCCTTCGATTACAATATCATGAAATTCACCACCATCATCATTCTCATGATCATCATCACCGGCAAATCGACGATCGAAATCATGTTTAAATTCATGAGCAGCCATTTTCTCTCTCCAAAAACTTGAAATTCTCTCTCTATCAATGAAGTTCTCTCTCTAGAATATTCTCTCTCTAGAAATTCATATCTAAATTGAAAATGTGATTTCTAATTTATGAACATCCTAATTCAATCAACATATATATGGAAAGATCTCAATCAACATATATATGGAAAGATCTCAATCAACATATATATGGAAAGACCCTCTTACGTAATTCACGTAAAACAGAGGTAAAAAAAAAAGAAAGGAAGAAAGTAGCTGCTGTGATTTTCAAAGAGATGTACCAAGCAGCATACCACCTGCTGTATGGTAAAATTTTCACTACTTTTAAGGGTATAAAGTTAAAAAAAAAGGAAATATTAAGACTAAACAAATTATGCCAAACAACAAAAGTATAGGGAATTAAAAAATAGATACTACAAAACTGAGCCAAATATGTGGGGAAATGAGAACCAAACATAAAACATGTTTGTTTGAAAAGCTGCACTCAATGAATATTTTGCATTACTTTATCCAAAATTTAGATTTTGGGGCTCCAAATAATGCAAGGCCTTATGTTGTTGGGCTGTTTGCACTGCCCAATAACCGACTTTGATTTGTTATAACAAATTTTTTTGGTTGTTAGAAAGTGGGTCGACCCTGATTTATTATAACAAATCTTCTTGGTTGTTAGTGTGTATTGTAATAGCTTCCTTTAAACAGTTGCTTCAGTTTTAATTGATCAATTATATTAATGAGAATTACAAATTCCTCTTTTGATTTTTTCCTCTTATTTCTCTTTCCCTCTCTACCTTTTTCTTTTTCTTCCTTATCATCTAAAAAGTTCGGCTGTCATTAATGGAAGCACAAACTATTTAAAGCTGTCGACTTACTTCTTCTTGGTATAGATTTGTTGGGATATTTATGACTGGGCATTTGTCAAGCCACTGATTATTTGGTTAAAGGGTCTCTATTGGATAAATGTTCATTCCCAATGAGGATTATATTGTATCTTTTGGTTTTTAATAATTCTAAGGACATTCACAAGTGAGGGGGAATGTTGAAATCCATTGTAATCTACTTGTGAGTGTCCCATATTAGAAAAGAGGGAGATAGTTTCACTATATAAGGTAGAGGATTTTTTTATTTTTATTTTTATTTTATTTTATTTTTTTATTTTAAGTATATAAGGTAGAGGAGTTTGGCCTACTGTATTACACTTTAATATGGAATCTCCTTAGTCTTATTTGTGGACTAAACTCTCTTCCTCGTTGTTCAGGTTGCTCAAGTCCATTTCATATCATCTTAAAATTTAACACAATGTCTTAAGAACTATTCGTATAGTTATATACCTTGTAATCCATATTGCATACCGACGTTATCGAGATTTAGGCGGCATCATTTAATCCAATTTCAATTACTTTATCTCAATATTTTTTTTTTCTATATATATGTGAGTAAAGTTGTAAATTGCCTTTCCCCTAAAAAAAAAAAAGTTGTAAATGCCTTTTGCTATTCAAATTAGATTTATATACCTTTTTTTTTTTTTTTTTTTTTTTTTGCTATAAATTTAGTTAGCTAGATTGTATTATACCTTTTCTCATTTATGAACCCACACCCTCAAGTTTAGATACAAGGTTACAAGGTACCAAAGTGTGTAATCACTAAATTGTTAATGATATTAGTCTTTTGAGGTAAAATATAAGTAAGGATTTTATGTTTTTTATCATAACATTTAAGCAGTAATGTCTCAACCCTAAACCATTTAAGTCACCTCATAAACGTAAGTTATATTTTTTTTTTTGAATAGCAAAAATATTTCATTAATTAAAAGTCATACGACATGTACAATAGAGATTCGACGTTAACAAATACATAAGATATTGAATCAAATAGAATTTTCCTTCATAAAAACTACGATCGTCGAGTAGATCTTGCACTGCGGAGCATCTCCCGCTTATATCGCTGAAAATTACAGCCTTGTTGGAGAGACAATCTAACGATCATTTGTAGCCGTGAGGATGATTTCCTTCTGATTCATCTGTTCGTATTCGAAAACTTGATAACTTTTTCACCAATGAAATAATTTCACGACAATCCATTAGATCTGCTACCATGGATTCAAAACTAAAAAATTTCTCCCTTGAAAAGAGGAGATAAACCTTGTCTTTCGAAGGAGGTCGAAAAACCCTTGTCTTTCGAAGGAGATCGGAAACCCTTTCTTTCGAGGGAGAAAAGTTCCTCCCAAAAGGAGGAAATATTATTATAAACCTAAAAAAACAATAAAGAAACAAGGATTGGGGCTTCCATCGGCTTTCCACCGATTAAAATCGATGGAAGGTCCTTCAAAATTCAACAATGGAGGCTAGAGTTTTGGAGAGAAAAAGGAGGAGAGAGAGAGGAGGATTTTTTAACTGGTTATTGTTTGTTACGTAAGTTTATATAATACACAGAGTTTAAACTATTCAAATTTTAAAACTAAATAAATAAAATCGTTTGTATATGAAAATACATATACTCGTTCGACTTATATATTGTTCGCACGTAACTCATTTAGACTTATATACTCATTTATAATCATCATACATTCCAAATCCGCCACCTCAATCAATTATTGATCCCATAGTGAGTGCATGAAGAATCAAGAATGTGTAATGTACTAATCAACATCAAAAGAAAGGGAATCAAGTTTTGCGTCTAAAAAGCAAAAAAAATTAAATAAAAAAATAAATAATGGTAGGTTAGCAATAAATAAAGAAAACATACTCCTTCCATCAAAGAAAGACACAAATTAAGCGGAAACCAGCCACGTGTCGAATGTGAAATTGTAAAAGCAGTGAATGGGTGGGGCTTCCCAGAATTGAAACTGAGAGAACTGAGATCGGCAATCATGTCGCGGCCAATGAGGCTGAGATCCCTGTCTGACGGAGATGGATCATCCCTGTTATTGAGCGGAGAGTTGAAGAAGAAGAGACCTAAGTTCCAGTATTCTGGTTGGGTATTTCATCTTGGTACTAATAAGATTGGCCATGAATATTGTCATCCTCGCTTCTTGTTTGTTCGTGGCAAGTATGTCGAGATGTACAAGCGTGATCCTCATGATCATCCTGCCATTGTCAGTTCTTTCTTCTCTCCTTTTCTTTTTATTATTTTTGTTTCTATTACAATTTGATGTTGGAGTTGTGATATTGCTCAATTTTCAAATGATTTGAGACCTGCATAATTGCCTTCTATGAGTATGCACTTCACCTTGAAGAATTGAGCTAAAACCTTTGACAAAGATGCTGATGTTGTTCAATTATTGCCTACTCCCCCGTTCCACAATCATGTTCTTGTTTGGAAGCTTTTTTAAAAAAGAGAGAATCTTCTACATTTCTCTTTTAATCAGTAAGAACAAATATGGTCATGTGGGATCTAGTTTTATTCGACTTGGTAGGTAGATTATTAATATCCAACTTTTATAATTTTTGCTAGCGTGGGATTAAAAATTGTTGCGGTCAAGGATGGGTAAAAATTTGCATCAATTTACGAAAGAGGAACATCATTCTCTTCTGAAACGGAGGGAGTATTATTTCAATGATGATGGAATTTGTGTGTAGATACAGGATGAATGTGTCCGCTATGGAACTTCAACTTCAAATGAGTTGCTGTTTCCTAGGCTGTTTAGATTAAAACAATATGTGGATGTAACCGAAGCATAGAACTGGAGGGATAATAGGAGTTTAACAATGGACAATTAAAAATTGTTTTAGGCTGATATTAGATTTTGGGAAAGATCATTGATAGAGAGAGCCTAAACTCTTCTGTTTAATTATGGACAACGCCAAAATTAATGGATCATAATATCATATTCATGGATGCACCATGATACGTTTGTGGGAGTCACCAAAATTAATGGATCATGGTTAAACACCTTTATTTTAAACATGACTCTATGAATTTTCTATCTTAATAACTAACATAACATAAGCATCATTTGCACTAATTGTATTCTTGTTGCAGAAACCTATACGGAGAGGTGTTGTGGGACAAACTCTTATGGTAGAAGAGTTGGGATGCCGAAAGGTTAATAGTAGTGTAAGGCACTTGGGTTTGAATATACTTTTTTTTATATTTTCTGTCCTAGTTCTAGCTCATTATCAACTTCTGAATTAATTTCTGAGGATTATTATAAGCACTCACTTTTCTTTTGTTTTTTTTTTTGTTTTAATAGGATCTGCATGTTCTTCGATTCTACAATCGATTGGATGAATCAAAGAAGGGAGAAGTAAGTGAATTTATAAAATCTTTGCACGATTCAATGGAACCTGGTTATGTGAACTTTCACAGTAATGGATCTTGAATTCCTGATGGTGTGTTTTGTGGCAAGTATAGCCATATAGGGAGTTAGAAGAACCCTAAAAAGTTGTAAAATTGGCATGTTTAATTTATTAAATTACTCCATTTTTAATGTCTAGAGGATTTTGCTTTAGTAGAGGTTATATGGTATTGTCGGGGTTTATTGCTATTTCTTCTCTTTTAGCTCATCTGCAGATTTGTTATACGAAGTTCAATAAGCAGGAAGGACATAATATATTGTGGTTGATTTGGCTGGAAAAGAATGACAAAATTTTCTGTAGTTTGGAATCTTCATTGATTACTTTATGGGAGTCATTGATGTTATTAGCTTTTCTTCAGTCTCACACTCTTGGAGCCTTTTTATTGATTGCCGCTTGTTCCTTATCGATGGATTTCTGTTTTTTGGTTCTTCGGGTTTTTTTTTTTGTCCTAATTTGACAGCAAAGTATAATGAAATGTATTGTTTATCATGGAATTGCCTCTGTAGTTGCATTCATATTGATTACTTTATTGCCTTTGTATATTCTGAGTTGCCTTTTCTTTTTGGGTGGGTGGTAGTAGAACTGGAATTTCTTTGAGTAATTTGATTATTTTCTTTGCTGAAGATTGCTTGTGCTACAGCTGGAGACGCTCAAAAATGGTTGGAAGCTTTTGAGCAAGCAAAGCAACAGGTATTGAATTAAAACTTGATGTTGATTTTAGCAAGTTCTTTCGTGCTGTGAAGATTATTACTTAATTTACACATTGTTAGATGATATTAAATCTGATTCTATTGTAATTATTACTTTCTCATCCAATATATGTTAATTATTGTTGAAGAATGGAAACTCCTTTCCAATGCCCCTCTTAAATATCTGTAAAAGCTGATTTGGTGAAAAGTATGATGCTATGCTCTCTAAGGTGGATGTACCACCCATATGTTTATTAATTTATTTATTGGTTATCACAATGTTTACTTCGTTTACACAGGCAGAATATGAGCTTTCAAGAGGTGGAAGAGCCAGAGACAAGCTGAATTTGGAAGCCGAGTATGTCTACTATCCATGTAATATTGATTCTTGTATAGATTATTGATCTAGTAAGCTTAGGTTGTTGTGGCTCAAAGAATACCTGTTTCTACTAACCTGCTAGAGTTCTCTTTCTTGTAATTGTAATGATTTATGGATTGAACACATTGGATGGTTCCATTTGTCTTTGTTCCTAGGTATATCTTGTCTTGGTATAATAGATTGGATTCTGTTTTATGTGATCTTTCTCAATGCCTCAATAAGCACATTCTTGCTCATAAGTTGTGATGGCACACCTGTTACCCCCCCCCCCCCCCCCAAAAAAAAAGGTCACATCATCATTGTATGTTCAACTGTTCCATTTACTTGTCCCATATGATCAATATTAAGTTCAAAAGTTTAGGCATTGAAGGTAGTTGATATATTCATTAGCTTACAGTTAGTTAGTAGTTAAAAAGTGGGCCTGTCAAATATTGAATATATCACTTGGAATCTCAAATATATATCCCGATCCAAATCATGCCAAGATAACTGTGAGAAGTACATTTGTAAGTTGTTGCTGATGCTTGATCGGTGGTGGAAGACTAGTTTACTTTTTGACCCTTTGACAATTTGTGCAGACCTTTCTTTTCTTGTTTCATTTTGCTTATTTTTTGCTTGACCGTTTGTTTATAACCTACTGTTTGATTTGAGTTGGACGTATCTGAAGTTTAGTGGTGACTTTTAGCTTTAGAGTTTAGATTACTTCTTTTCAATTATACTTGTCTATTCTCCTACTAAAGATGTACTTGAAAGAAGAGATTACTTCTTGCTACTAGGTGATTGTGAAAACGATGATCGCCATCTGCAGGTGTTTTAGTTTGGGGCTATGCCTAAGGTCACTGGTGCTGGTAGAGTAGAAGGTTGAAAGTTCTTTTTGCCCCATCTGGGTATTTTTATTTTATTTTATATATTTTTTTTCTAGCTTGTGTAAAGTCAGAGAGCTATACTCTGCATGATGACTGTAATCTGTCCTTTCTCATTCCAGTGTATAAGGTCATGCAGGATCTCTAGCTCTATTAGTTTTTTCCGGCTCTAATCTGCCTTTTTTGATGATTCTATTTGTTTGAGGGCATTGAACCTCTCTTTGTCTAGGAGATAGATTCAGTTAGTCTCTTTATACATGCAACAGTTTGTCAAAATTGGAACATATCACTAATTGGCAGACGGCATTGATTGAAGTGTGCTCCATAAACTGCAGATTTCTCATGCTTTCTTATAGTTACAATGCCTGTTTATTGACCCAGTATCTCATGCCTTACATGTTTCCATTTTATTGGGTTGTTATCAATCTTTTGAATAACTTATAATCTTCTCTCTTCTGTGGAAAGGATTGATCTTGACGCACATCGCCACAGGGTGAGGAAATATGCTCATGGCTTCATAAAACTTATAAAAATCGGACAAGGTTAGTTGATGTTAACTGGTATAGCAGTAAATGGTGATTCCATCTTCTAAAAGCAAAAATTGAAAAATATATGGTGGTTAGGGAGCAGGGCACTAGGATGGCAATTTGTACTGTTAAAGTGGTTTCTTCTAAAACAACTAATGCAGTACTTTCTGAAATGAGATTCCATCTTTGGGTAGAACAAAAGAAGCTATTCCTGCTCCAGTGCAATGTATAAAACTTAGACAAGCTGCTCCATATAGTTTGGGATATAGTTTGGGATATGCAAGTACTCTTCTTGCGCCTAATATTTTTCAATTAACTAAATCTTATATTATTAAGATGCTGTACGATAAAAAAAAAAAAAGCGATAGATCAGTGCCCTGTGTAACCTGTGTTAATGTTTAGGCCTCATCATTGGTAGCGATGTAATTGCTGGAAAATGAGCTGATCCCTTGCCCTGGACTCCACAAAAAGCTTGATGGGTTTAATTAACACTTTTAGTTTAAAGCAGGATCACCTCCCTATTCAACTTCAATGTTCTTTTTCCTTATTTTTTGGAAGTTCTTTATTATGTTTTTGTAACTTGAACACTGACACGAAAAGATCTTCACTTCCGAATTTGTGGTATAAGATCTTCATTGCCTCTGTTCTCTCCAAACCAACATCATGCCCAATGTCTAATCAACACTACTCTTTTTCCTGCTACACATTAAGGGACCAACAACAGTAGAAATCACATCCTTTCTTCTTCTATGTTAATTTTAATGTCTTTATATTTCAGTAAAAGAATTATTGATTCCTCATGACAACAAGCGTGACCTTCTAAGTTCCAACACACTTTGGGTACTTATTTTTGGCTAATTTAAACTACTTATAGAAAGGAAAAAAAAAAAAAGGAGAAAAGCTTAGACAATAAACAGAACTACCTGGTTTTTTGTGCAGTTGTCATAGCTTATATTAGTTTTGCTCTAAATAAATAAATTGAACCTACTTCATTACTTTAAGTCTCATATTTATCAAATCCAAACAGGAAAAGAATTGCTCTTCCTTTTTAAGAAGAGGGACAGAGAGAGGGTTGCCACTTGGTGAGTTGTAGGAATATGTGAATGGCTGGTCAGGAAAGTAATAAAGTTTTCCTTATATTCACTAGAATTTTAATAAGGTAAATCTTTGAAGTGTCTATGCGTTCGGATTCTGTATGGCTTTATATTACAGATATACCTATGTTGTGGAAGTATGTTGCTTCTAATCAATCAGTCAATCAAAGTCTTAATCCCATAATGTTAAAACACTTTTGGACATATAAGAACTTCTCTGGAACTTGTTTCTTTTAATGAGGAATAATTATTCATTTCTCTAATCCAGAGCCACTTTTGCGACAATCATCATCCTTGGCAGAGAATGCCCGGACAGATGGCTATATGGGAGTTGATGGAGATGCTGATGCAATTGAAGCACATACATGGAAATGCGTATGCACCATGAATGGTTAGTATTTGTTATTAAGGTTGTAGAGTTCTAAGTTCTGATTGATAAGTTGTTCTTGTAAATTATTTGGCTCTAAGTTTCCTAGCTTCTTTACTGCATTGTCCAGTTTCCTTGTGTGTCCATATATCAAATCAGCTATAGAAAAGGTTTTAAGTACTGTAGTATCTGTAATTCAACATAGAATTACTATAGGTTGATATAAGATTGTTTCAGGCTTTAGATTATTAGCCATAAATTTTCTAATCTTGACTTTTTTCAATTAAATATTCAGTGTAGCTAAGAAATTGTAAGAATTAATATTCATCTAAGCATTAGGATGATAAGCGGTGGTTAGCTCTCCACCTCTGAACTCTAGGACCATGAGTTCAGGGCTTGTTGTTTGGTGTTCCCTCCAGTTAAGAATTGGGGCCTCACTAGCTAAGTAGCTAGCAGTTTCCTGCCTTATCCCCTCTTGTCAGTTTATCCCATATTTCCAAAAAAAAAAATATTCAAAGAAATGAGGAACACACCACTACAAATTTGACGATCTAATTAAGGAGAGATGCATACAATAAATCTGACTGAAATAGCTTTTTATTTATTTATTCCTCTCCATTTTTCTTTTGTGAACTTGTTCGAGGGGGGAGAAGCTTAATAGTGAAGTTTTGTTTATCTAAAAGGTAATGGTGAAGATTTGTTTAGTAAATTCCAACTATAGTAGCAGGTACATTCCAAGCTTTGTTGTTCTGCATTTTTATGATCTTTCCAGAATATATTCTATAATGTTTCAATTTTTCAAGGACAAGCCTAATCTTTGGCAACAAATTTACAATGATATCCTTTTATTGATTCTTGTGGTGCTTTTTCCTTTTTGTTTTGCTTTTGGTTGGTTATACTTTGCTTTCTCATTTGCAGGAATTAGAATCTTTGAGGATGTTGTAGAGTCCAAGGTATCCACAATGTCATATTGTTTTCTCAATTACACTTTATAATTTTTACCAGTCTTGTGGTTATATTTGCTCATACCCCTGACAATGTGAAAAAGGGTTTTTTTTTTTTTTTCCCCCCACTTAATTTCATTCCTGACTCTTAACAATCTTGCTTTTCCATGCTGCTGAACTTGCATAGGAAAAATCTGTATTGAATAAAATCTAGGAAGCAGGGGGCATGCTTAATGTGAATGAAAAACGATGTAGTATGGGAAGCAATCAACCAATTGCTGTCATAGTGGAATACTGAATGCTCTTGGTAATTAATACCAATGCAGATATCCTCCCTGTATGCATGTGCACCCTTTCTAAATTTGGAAATGGGATCATGCCATGAAGAAAAGACAGATTGTTATTTCCATATACTTAGGTCCTGTTTAATTCACCTGATTTTTTGCTTATCTAGTCTGATGTGGTCTGATTGATCTTATTCTCTGATTTGACCAATCTTTGACGTTAAGTGTACGATAATATGTAAGGTAAAAATATATCAAGTGAGATCTTGTTAGATTCGTAATAATGTGTATTTTATTAATATGTAATTTGCATAATTTTTTTCATTACGAAATTAAAGATATTTAGCGATAAAAAATTGCATATAAAACGATGATCTGATCTGAACTTATTTTTTCTGAATTAAGTAAAAATAAGGTGAACTAAACAAGGTTAGCTCATTTTTCGCCAGATTAATTTTGCTTCTTTTAGAAAACTGAGTCTAGGGCATTAAAAACCAATTTAAAGGCCCAATTTTATTATTTAGGTTTTCTTTTTTGTTTACTTCTCCTTCCGTCCTTAAATGCAATCACCAAATAAGTATCCTGTTACTTAAAATGGATAATTCACCCTGCTTATCTCATCCATCCCATATGATGTGGGTTCCATCACTGCCTCTCTATATGTAATGGATGTGCTACCCCCATCAATCGATTTCTTTTCCTTACTTTTCCACTATATACCAAAAAATCCTGCAATACTCTACTATAATTAATATGCATGCTCAAGCATGAGAGGACAGTAATCTGAAAATGGACTCCAATGGAGGGAAACTACCGAATTTATTAACATACCAATCATGGTTGGACCTACGGAGTTCATTTGCCAAGAAATTTGTGACCTTTCTACTTGTTAATTTTTGTGGAGGATCATTATTTCTCTTGATTTTAGTTACTTTTAATCTGATATCTGATTGCAAATTTTTTTTATTCCTATTTCGGTTATTTGCTGCTCACTCCCTTATTTTAGCTTTTGGAATAAGGAGCTGTAATATGCTTCCTGTTTATTTTCTGCCAAAGTTTCATTCACGCTTTCTTTTGTTAAAATACTAGGCTGGTAGAGGCATTCTTGTGAAGTCTGTGGGAATAATTGATGCCAAATCGGATACTGTCTTTGAGGTTCTTATGAGCCTTGAACCCTCTAGGAGATATGAGTGAGCTTCTTTTCTCTGTTCATCCTTGTCTTTTGTTTTTTTTATAAAATTTATTGAGGGATATGTTAATTTTGTTTTCTCTTATCATTTTACTTTGAGAATTTATGAGTATGCTATACATTTAAACTAATTATGGGGTAGCATCTGTGCATCATTACAGGTGGGATATGTTGACTAGTGACTTGGAGCTTGTTGAAAGCATAGATGGGAATTATGATGTTGTATATGGAACATATGATCCGAAATATTTCACTTGGTAATATATTTGTCTTTTCACCCTATCTCATCTTGTTTTGTCACTTTGTGTTGTGCTGCTAGAAATTACATTCTGGTGGCTAAATTTCTTGCATTTTCACATTTTTCTACATAGTAATTTCTAATCTACATTTTTCATAACTTTTAGAACATTAAAGCTAGAATGTTTCTTTACACAAGCTGTATGTGGAATATTAACTTTGGTTCATTGCATTTATCCTCGCTGTTAGCCATTTATGAAAGGAGTACGACAACAATCATTTACTTTCTTTTTGTACCCCCCTCCATTTTGTTTTTTGGTTTAATATGAAAAGGAAAGGAGCTCATCTCAAAAACATAGGTTTCTTCCAGGAAAATAAAAGGAAAGAAAAAAAAAAAATCAAATTGGCCCTGGTGAAAGTTTTAGGAGGAAGCATATTCTACAATGTAGCTGGTCAATTTCACAAACCTTGAAAAAGGAAGGGTAAGGAATTAGTGCTTAGAGAAACGATAGCTCTATGTATGAATATTCATATTTGGAGAAAGAAGATTTTTTTTGTGGAAACCTCTGAGGGAAATTTCTCATGCTTCCGATACACCAACTTCATTTTTTGATTTTTTTCAAAATTAAAAAATACTACCCATCAGATGAGGTAATTTCAGTGTAAATACCAATATTTTTTTACTACAAATTAAAACACTATGCGGAGAAGTTCGAATCCCCAGGACTAGTGGCTATTACCCTTCTTGAGAAATTTACATTGTAGGTGAAGAAGGATGTTAGTTGGCATTGGTACTGATAACATACTATAAATGTTTATAAAATCTCATATTCACCTTTCATGAGAACAATTTTTGTGCAACCGACCCACTTCTATAGAATTTACCTTTTTATTGTTAGATTTAGTGTTTTGATGCTTTGAGTTGCTCTTTTAATTAGGGTTACTTAACTCGTATAAGGAACTTTACTATATTATAAAAAAAAGGGTCATTTTGAAGAGTAGCTTCAACATGGATGCATGCAAAACAAGCTGATAAATATTTTGAATTTCTCCAATATGAAGTTAATACGAGTATTTTGTTTTTTTTGGAAATAAATCAATTCATTAATAAAAAGCCACCCGGCATCTACACATGAAATCTAAATTAACAAATACATAAAATTGAATCAAATTAGGGTTTCCTTCATCAAAGCTACGATCGTTGAAAAGATCTTGCACTGTGGTAGATCTCTTGCACACATCGCTGTACAGCCTTTTCGGAGAGACGGTTTAACGATATGTTGTAGCCGTAAGGATGATTTTCATCTGATTCGCTTGAACACTTGAAAACTTTGACAAACGTTGTTATCCCGAACAAATCTTTACCAACGAACGGACAATAGGGCAAAAGATGATTACCTTTTTGATAAACCCTAACACACAAACAAACCCTAAACATAAACAAACAACTAAAACTAACAAAAACTAACGACTCCACCATAGGGAGACGAACGAATATCTACACTATTCATGTACCTTTATTGAAAACCTAATTAGCAAAACTAAAGAAAATTAAGGGAAAAGGGTTGGAAATAGTCTAATTTCCAAAATGACCAAGATTATGGAGAAACCCTAGAAGAGAGGAGGAAAGAGAGAGGCGAGTTGGATTTTTTGTGTTTAGTTAGTTAAGATTATATGAAGTTAATATGACTCAACTAATAATGTACTGAGATTTGTCCACAGAAAAACTGAATAGAGAGTTGCAGTCTAGGTATGTGTTTGGAGAATATTAGGTTGGGTTTTAGAAGATATTGTGATGTCTAGAACTGTAAATCAATATAAGAATCCTAACACAGAATAGGCTATAAATTCGTTACCCCTGATGTGGTATATACAATATGTGCAGTGAATTGTGAATACTCTATGTCAACCAAATTAAAACAATCGAATTTTACACACTGCTAATTGCTCTTCATTCTTCTTTAAGTTAGTACTTTCAATTGTCCTGTGAAGTCTTTATCAGCAAAATTCCTGATGGATAATGTGTGAATAATATGTGTGCTTGCTATTCCTCACGTAGGTGGAGTTCCAGAAGGGACTTTGTGTTCTCAAGGCAATGGTTTCACGGACAAGATGGAACATATAGTTCGTAAATCTTTCTCAAAGCTTCTAAAATTACTTTTTTATGTTTTGACCATAGATATTAGAATTTTATTCCAAGCATATCCTTGCTGTAGAGCGTTAATAGATAGGGGAGTATATCTAAATTTCCTATTGTTCTCTAAGTTTATCTCTTTTATTAATCCTGACTGACTAATTTTATTTATGGATGCAGCAATTTTACAATTCCCAGCAGTACATAAAAAGTGTCCTGCTAGACCTGGCTATCAACGAACAAAAATAAATCGTAAGCCATTTTCTTCTCAAGTTTTATAGCTCCTTTCTACCGTGCTACACATTTTCTTCCTCATCCTTTCATTTTTATAACATTTAGATGTAGCAATTACTATCCAAATTAATAAAAAAATATAAATAACAGATGGTATTATAGTGACTCCCTTTAGCTTATGGATTGCCTAATGCACAAGATTGATTCACAATTTGAGTGCTGATAGTATTATATAATTCGTTGTTTAATTACATGAATACTCCGTATAATACAGGCTCGATAGGGTTTAAATTTTGCATCCTGTAAGAGTTGGATTGACTGTATAGTAATAAAATGATGGAGTACACATGTAAAGATCCATTCAATTAGAATATAAATACTCCCTTCGTTTTATTAACTTGCAACATAACACTTTGGCATGCACTTGATGGAAGATGTTAGACTAGGTAAACAGACAAATTAATTGAAATAATTTTACCATCAATCTTAGTTTTAAAAAGCGCACCTGAGGCGCGCCTAGGCGCACGGCACAATGAGGCTCAAGATATGGCGCCTTAGCTATGTGAAGCTTAAAGACCTACAAGAGACGCACGCCTTTGTGCTTTTTTTTTTCTAGGCTGCTTCTGGCGCCTTTGCACCTTATGTTGTAAAGCATCAATAGCTTTTTTATAAGTTGTTATATTCTATAAAACACTATGGGACTTTGTGACAGGCAGGTAAATTCATTTCTAGAGGTGAGAGAAATCCCATATCCCCCAATTTGATTTGAAGAACTCTAGCTATTGATCACACGGTCCTTTCACCTTTTCACATTATTCCAATTTTACACTTATTTAATAGAAATTATAATTTCTTTTCTATATGAATTAAGTGCGCTTCACCTACAAAAGGCGCGCGTCTTTGCCTTGCGCCTAAGCTATAAGGACTTTTGAGCCTTGGTGCACCTTGCACCCTTTAAAACTAAGCCATCGATAAGAATGGTGTAATATGCCAGGTGAAAGTGAGACCGTGAGCCCACTAGATAAGTTGCCTATGGCTCTCCCACGTTGGAAGTTGAGGAGAATTGAGGAAGCATGTCATTCCTATTTTAAAATTGCTCAAATAGCGTGTCAAGAAGGTGTGTTGGAACTCTTGGAAATATAAAAAAACAGAGGAAGTATTCATTACTAATTCATACTTGCTTGGCTTAGTTGTCTTTGAGTATTTATTGGGAGGAGCTCAGTTTTCTAATGGTTTGAACCTCTCCAACTCAAATTTTAAATACATGCAGTGCAATTTTACTATTTCTCTCTTCATACAAACACTAAACAGGTTTTTTTTTTTCTTAGTCTCATAGCATACAGAAAACAATAGACATTTAATGAGGAGCAGTTACAGAAGGATTTATAGCAATTGCTCTGGCCTGCTCGATCACATGTGCATATATAAATTCAGAAGATGAAAAAATCAAACTTAAATGTGACAAAAAATCACCATAAATCTACGCTCCTGAGAGGCTTTCAATACTGAATATGGAAAGGATTTGATGTTGCCTTATGGCCCTTATCCATGCATTTATGCAATAGAGATTGCTTCCATTTGCTCCCTAGTTATTTTGTAGCTGATAACCTAGAAAAAGGATATAGAAAGAAATTATGCACCTAGCTTCAGCAGATAAAACAAAAAGTAGTAGGGTTACCCTCATGTTCCAATATAGTATATGACACTTGACAGATTTGGTGACATCGTAGACTATGCTAGAGGTGATTACCAAAAGTGACACTAGTTAGTAGAACTCCACCAATCTTTGTTTGAGGTGATGAATTTCCGAAAGCCATATTGTTGTGGACTTGTGGTGTCCAGTATGTCCACAAATCTCCATAGCTTTACAAATTCTATCCACAAAATCCTTTATTATTTTATTTCATTTTTTTTAATCATTTTAATTTGCAGGATTATGCCAAAAGTAAAAGAGTTTAGGCGCCTATTTTGCACCCCTCTCCCTCTCCCAGCCTCTTCTGCATCACGGGTCATCAATTTGGTTGACTACACTATGATGCAAGTTTACAGTGTTGTAAGCTTGGTATCCGTGATTGGACTGACAAAATTAATGGTTCAGAGTTCCAGAGCTTCTTGTGTGAACCTGTGACGGAATTTCTGCTAGCTTTTGTCCTTAATAAATCCTGCTCAAGAGTCTTGCTTGGGCTTGCAGGGGAAAGGTTGATGGGATTAGCTAGTGCTTTACATTTAATCATTCCTCCTTATGTATATAGCTGTTCAACTTTCCTTTTTAATGGAGTCCAACGCGGTCATTAATGTATATAGCCTTGAAATTAAAAATAATTAATGTATATAGCCTTGAAATTAAAAATAATTAAAAAAAAGTGATAACAAGTTGAAAATTTAAATATCACCAATCGAAACAAATTTAACACGATCCGATTGATTCATTTTGATGTATATATTAGTAAAGAGAATAACTTATTTGAAATGGAGGGATTATAATTGAAAGAGAGTCAAAGAGAGTAGTAAAGTTATGCCTACCTTCCATCATTATAAATTGTTCTGGATGGCATTCTATCCGTAAGTGTTTTATCTATACCAAATTCTTATAGATTTTATTTTTTTCATTTTTATTTATCTTAAGGTGCCATCCATTCCTCAGGTTTAAGAGATGCTACTGCATAGATTCCTGTAACTTTATTGCTCTTTCCATATTGTGAAGAGCTTTTTTATTTATAATTTTTTGTGTAGCTTCTACTTGGGAGATAAAAGGTTTGGACACATCTGATGCCACAGCCGAATCTCCAAGATGTCTAGTGACACATATGTTGGAGATACAATCTGATAGCTGGGGTTCTTGGAAGAAAAGTCGCTCTTCAAAGTTTGAGAAATCTATCCCTTATGCATTGTTGTGCCAAGTTGCTGGTAAGTTGCTTCCTGTGATTTTCAAGTATTGTCTTGCTTGAGTAGCAACATTGTAAAGCAGTTAACCTTATTATGGAGAATTATTTAAAGAGCGGTGACTTTTAATTTTGTGGCAATTCCGGGTTTCTTATTGTTCATGCTGCAGTTATTATCTATGATAGCCTGATAGGTTCCCAGTAATAATGCCATTATTGTATATTTGTATTAATCAAAGCATGTTGCCTAATTGATCAGAATCGGGATAGCTATGTTAGGATTTGATATTGGGATCATTATATGCATAATCATCGCAACACATTCATAGGAAAGATTAACTTGTGTGTTTATAATGATAGCAAGAGTCGCAAGACATTGATTATGCAATCTTTAATGCAATGCCTTTCGGTGAATAAAATGTGCTTACATTCCATTTTTCATGGGAGAGTGAATGGCTTGTTTTATATTCTTGTTTTTCATTGTATAGGTCTGAAGGAATATATTGGAGCAAATCCAATTCTTAAAAATAATTCAGTTACAGCAGATTTTTATTCAAATTCCTCCAGTGATAGTGTTTCCAGCAGTGAATGTGACGACGTTGCAGAAGAGTTTTATGATGCGATTGCTACAGAAACATCTGACGGTGAAGATAGTGATGATGATATTGAAGTTGACAAGAAGGTGTGAACTCTTCTGTTTATGTTTGGATAAATACAATAGACCCCTCTATTATAAATTAAATCAATAAGCTGTGTCAGGACTTTGTGACGCTGGAAAATGTATCATCAGACATAGCAAGCTTGTCTTTGAAGAAGTCTCCAGGTTCCCTTACTTACTGTTTTCTTAATATCTTTGTGTAACTTTTGACTGTTACTCCACCTACTTGAATTTATTAGTTGATATTTCATGAATATCCTCCAATTCAGTTGTCACGCTGCTAGTACTAGTCATTTTTCACAAATAAGATTTAATAATCTATGACTCTCTTACAAGGTACATCAATTGTACTAGAAACTATGCTTTCCTTCAATCTGTACTTCTGTAGAAATTAAACTTTTTTTTTCTCGTTAACAAAGAAATATCTGCTCAGCTGCTCACTCACCTCGTTTTGAGGTTTTGTTAGCACAATTGGGGATCAGCCTTTTTATTTTTCCTTCAATTTTTGGTATTTTAGCCATGAAGAAGACAGTTGCATCATCTCATATTTTCTGTTCTTCTACTGATAAGGCTGTGATATTCGTTTTTACTGTAGCATGTCTGTTGAATTTGGTTTGCTCCTTGAGTATCTTGCTGTTTTGAAAGGGGAAAGTACACCTAGTGCCAAGCTATACTGGAAACAATAAAGCGGGAGGGAGGATTTAATAAAACTTATTGTTAGAAAGACAAACCCTTACTACTTCATTTGTGGCTCAGTTGCTACTGATATGCTTTATGTTGATGTGCTGTTTATTATAACCCCATATTATGCAGTGTAATGCTGTAATCCATCAATAATTTACTAGCTTTCTCATCCTGCAGCTAATGATGCAAGCAAAGTACTAGATTCAGCTATACCCCCAGTGTCAATCGATTCAAGCAAGTTTAATGGTTCACTGCGTAAAGGAAAAGATGATGATGACACAAATTGCTGGACAAATCCAGGTGGCGCGGGATTCATGATTAGAGGAGATACATACTTGAAAGACTATGTCAAAGTAAGTTTTATTATTCCTAACTTTCATTTACCTTTTACTCATCATTTATATAATAAAAAAAAAGTCCTTAGCAGTCATCTTTTAGCACTTTAGTGTTTTATGCATCTGTTGTTTTGCAGTAACAATTTAGTATCCGTAAGATGCAATGGAAATAACAGACAGTGAACTGATATCAACAATCCTTGTTCTATCTTGCTGAATTATTTTTTGTCTCATTCAATGCTACTGATTAAGATTGTGTTGCAGTTGATTTAGGGCACTTCTTACCTGTTAAGGATAGTTATTAGTTTCTTTTGAATCCTTACTTTCTTTCACTGTGAGAGCCACAACAATCCCGCCCCTAAGGCCTTGTTTTGTTCACCTTATTTTTGCTGATGTTATTTGATCTGGTTGTTTGATTTGACCTAACTTTGACCTTTATGTGTATATTATATATAAAGAGAAAATATATTAAGTGGGGTCTTGTTAGATTCGTAATAATGTTTATTTTATTAATATGTAACTTTCATAATTTTTTTGATCTTGTCTGAACTTATTTTTTGTGATCTAAATTTATTTATTCGAAAATAAAGAAAAATAAGTTAAACTGAACATGTCCAGGAAAAAAAAGAAGTCAAACTAAACATGGCCTAAGTTCTTCTGCCCTTCGAGTCCTCCTTGTACTTAATTTACATTGTTTGAATAGGGTTGCCTGCCTTGGCGCCTTCTTGTCTTTCCACTTTTTGCCACCACTTGATTCGGCTACCAATTTCTCAACGTGGATGGATTTACGATCCTCCTTGCTTCATAAATCTCTCTGCCTTGATTAGGGCTACCACAGTATCATCCAAAGGCAACCAACAATATCCTCCTTGCTTCATAAATCTCTCCGCCTTAATTAGGGCTACCAAAGTTGTCTTCCCTACAAGTAAACTTGTTATTACAAAATTATACCTTTTAGGGAGAGAAGTCAACAATATAATTTCCTTTTCCTAAATTTTCTCATCTAAACTCTTTAATTGGGAGATCAAGCCGTTTAACTATATTAGATGATTATGTAGTGTGCCACCATCCTCCATCACAAGTGTATATAGATTTTTCTTCAAGAACTACTTGTTTGCTTGCTCCCTAAGCCTAAATATTCCTAGATTGATTATATACCTAAATTCTTCCTAGTTTCCTAATTACAAAACCTATCTAGCTAGGAAAGCATAATAAATAAAAGATATATGTATTTTTCAAATGAAAACACTCTACCTCGTTGGTTTTGGTAAGTTTAGTTTATTTCCTAACATATCCCAAATGAGTTCCAATTTTCTTGTCAAGTTAATGAAGTACACAAAAGGGTCCATATATGTATTTTTTTTTAAAAGTTGTACTTGTTGGTGTAAGAATCCAAATGAAAACACTCTAGCGCAGACAAAATTTAATTTGCATTATTTAATTATTTTTCCAGTCACATGTGCAAAGAACAAAGGGAATACCATTTGCAGATCAATGGTTTAAATTTCCTGCCTAAGATGATTATTGAATAAGAATATGCTTTTTATTTTCATTCAGCAAATTTTTGTCTTTTTCCTTTGGGGTATTATAATCTGTCACTTTGTACTGTGAATTTTACCAGACACGAGTTGTGTTTCTGATAGAATTTGTAGTTCTGATGGGTTTATTTAGCAGCTGCCTTGTATCAGCTGTATACAAGTCTCTCTCTATTTTGGGGGTTTGATTGTATAATGCAGAAATCTTACCATATTTCTCCGTATCTATTTAAAACAAAGATATCCATTAGGATTGAAATTATTTTTTTTGTGAAGATGGCTAGCTTTGATTGAAATTGACTTGGGTTTTTGTCAATCACTGGCCCACCTCTATCATCACGTTTAATTCTATCATCATCATGTTTATGGGTTATCAAATGTGAGAAATCCTGGTAAGAAAGAGTTTAGTCCACTTTTTGTTCATGTTGAGAAAGATACGCTTCTTCCCCATTCTATAAGTAGGTTGTAGTTCAAATTTTGAAGCAGTTAGATTGAAATAGTTCTTTTTGTTTACTTGCAGGAAAACAATGTTTCATAGAGATTTAGCCTTTGTCGTAAGAGGAAAAAAAAAAAAAAAAACACACACACACACACAGAAGTGGTTAATTCTTGATTTTATGTCCAACTGTTTTTTAATTACTTTCCTTCTCAGCCTCATCTGTTAAAATAGCCTTTGACCTTTCCCTTTCTTTCGATTTGAGCTTTTCTTCCTGACGGACTGGGGGGTCAACAGACAAATAAACATATTTTCCACAAGATGTATATTTCACAAGTTAGCCAATCTTGGTAGACGTCTACAAGGCTTATTATTGTAGAAAACCCTTCAGTATCCTGTCATAGTTACAAGAAGTCTATCATCTGATAGAAGGAAGTTCATGCATCATTGACATTTAGTGCGTTTACTGGAGTATTATGCCATATGTTACCATTTCCCCAATTAGCTCCTGCCCTGAGCAGGTTAAGTGGTAAGATGTACATAACGTCATGGCTTTACTACACAATAGCATAGAATCTCTTTTAGACTTATACCTACAATGGGAGTTTTCATTAGATCCTTAATTCCGGCAATTGACTGGATACTGATTCAGACTTTCATAGCGTATCTATATACAGCAGATTGGAGTCCATTTTACTTTTATTCATGCACACACAATGATATTATTTTTATATGATGTATATCTTACATTTAATTTTGTTGGGTTGTATTTTTTAATGAATAGCTGAACAAAATCTTGATTGTTTTTTTTTCAAGGTAAAAGGTGGAGATCCTCTTTTAAAGCTCATAGCTGTGGATTGGCTCAAGGCTGACCAGAGCATTGACAAGGTTGCATTGCGTCCATCCTGTGTTGTTCAGGTAATTCAAATACCCCTTGACAACCCACTTTGCATCTGACATAGCAAATAGATTCAAGTTAGCTTTCAGCTCAACTTTTAATTGTTGATTTTAAACCCCCCCCCCCCCCAACCCCTCTACTAAGTTACTGTAGGTATGAAAACCAGAGGAAAGGGGGTTTGAGTTTACCTAGTATGTGTTTTAACTCACTATGTTTTAGTTTCTGTTTAATTAAGGCCTTAGAATTCTGTTACCTCACCTTTTCTTCTGTTATTTCAGTCAGAAGCTGGAAGAAAACTTCCATTCATTCTCGTTTTAAATCTCCAGGTATGTTTGTCCAGGTTTATTCTTCTGTTCCCCTACCCTGATCTCAAGATTAGTCTTTCATGAGCTGCGCATTCGAGAATGTGCCTCTTTGATTATAGGATTTTTTTTTTAATTTTTTTTTTTAAATGTTCATGTTAGAACATCTCTTATTACTAGTTTTTCTTCCTATGCTTATGACTCAGATTTATGTTTATCAAGTAATCATTACTGTTCTGGAAAATACTTTCTGTTGGCTACTTGGCCAAAATAAATAAGAATGATCTACAATAGTCAACAGGTGATGCAGTTGTTTCAAAAAAAAAAAAAAAAAAAAGACACAGGTGATGCAGAAGCTGTCCTTTTATTCTGTGCACTTGTGCCATAAACTGAGAGTGCTTCTCTATGCAGCTGAACAGTCATAGGTGTAGAATTGCGAGTGTCAACTTTTTGGTTGTTAATACTTGAAGAGTTTCCTGCTTCCTAATTAGTTAAAAAAAATAGTAAATTTCATCTGTTTGAATTGAGCGGAAAATAATTCATTGAAAATGTAGGATCTTTTATTTAACGATACATTTAGATGTATCTTTAGCTTTAGTCTTTTAAATGTTTCTCAAAGTTTTGACGACTAAGATTTTGGTACAATCAGAGAATTGAAGATCTACTGGAATGCCTAGGAATTTGGACTTTGATAATTCTAAATATTTATAAGGGTGGTAGCTTTTATTTTGACGAGAAGATTCTATACAGATAGACTGCTAATAGGTGTTATTATATGCTGAATCTTTGGAATACAATCATGATGTTATATTCTTCTTATTTACTTCCATATTAGTAGTTCCAACCTCAACTAAATTAGAGTTGCTCCTGTTGTTCCAGATTCCAGCCAAACCAAACTACAATCTGGTTTTTTATTATGCCTCTGACAGGCCTGTAAATAAAGATTCATTATTGAGCAAATTTATTGATGGGACTGACGCATTCCGTGATTCAAGGTTCAAGCTCATACCAAGCATTGTGAAGGTAAATACAATATAGGCTCATACAATGCAAGTGTTCGTTGCATGTTCAGTAAATTTGGGAAGCTTATTGACTGTAACTGACAATACTCAGAAACTAATTTCTTGTATTGGTTCAGGGCTATTGGATGGTTAAACGTGCGGTAGGAACAAAATCCTGTCTGTTGGGTAAAGCTGTGACCTGCAGATACCTGAGACAAGACAACTTTTTGGAGGTGATTAAGTTGTTATTTAAATACGTTGAAGGCAGATGCACTTGACACACCTTTTTGGTTAGATTAAAAAATATCTGATGCTTATTCCATCTCTGAGCTGCACTTCAAACATCATTAATGTTTGACATAAGATGTGCCTTTTTCCAAGATGCGTTCTTGAAACTGAATTGGGGTGTATATATATTTGATTTGGAGTATATAGAGATTTAGCTGATTAATATTTTGCGAAACTGATTCAGGGGTCATAAGTATTGTATTTAGAAGTGATACTCTATGTTTCTGCATAGATTTGATGTGTAGTTCAACTGGTCACTGATTTTCTGAATTTTATTTGGCTGTCATTCAGGTATCCTTAATTTTGTTTAGTTTTTACTAAGTCCAAATTGATGTGTGTATTGTGTGAAAGCTTTTCTGACAGTAATAAGAAGAATGTTATACTAGCATGTGATTTTTAAATGAGTGGTACTTATTACTTACGCAGTTTTCATTTTCCCCCTTTTTATGTTTATATGGCAGATTGATGTGGATATTGGCTCCTCGTCAGTTGCTAGAAGTGTTATTGGTCTTGTCCTTGGATATGTCACAAGCTTAGTGGTTGATCTTGCAATTCTGATAGAGGTTAGTGCTTCTGCTTCACTTGTCAGTTGTTCTTTTGTTATTATAATCTTGTTGACTCGGAGTCTGTTTCTTTCAGTTTTTCTGCCCATTTCAATGTTGCATACTAGCATTTGAAATCTCTCTCTTTCAGTTAGTCCGTCAATTAGCGGTTACTTTCATGCTTATTGTTCGTCATCCATGCTGATGTGGATCTAAATAGACCCATAAAGTAATGATGATAATACTCAATTGTTGCAGGATTTAAGAGTTTCTTGTTAATCACAGTCAACAAGATGAACACAAATCGCAATAAGTGTTTGGTTTTAACAAAACCGAATAAACAAGCATAACGCTTATCAATTTTTATAAACTTCAATCTGTCTAATTTTACATCATATGGCTTTATATAGCTGAAAACAAAACCCTAATGTAATTCAAGAATAATCCTACTAGCTTAAAATAAAAACAATAACTAATTAAAATAAATCTTAGTGGAATTAAAATAAGACCACAAAATATACCCATTACAACCTTGATTTATAAAATAACCCAAACCCAAACATAAAATAACCTGTAAGATAATTAATATTTAGCTCCCCTTCCCTACCATATCATTTTCCTCTTCTTTGCAATAAATTTTCCATTTTACGAATTCAAATCACATACAAGAACCATGGGTATCTTTGACTTTATAGTGTCTTTGAGGAAGGAAGAAAGTTCTAATGAACATTTTTTTTTTTTTGAGGGAATTCTACAAAGAACATTTAAAGTAGCTTCCAGAGGTGCATTTTTATTCACAGCCTCATGAAAATAAGATTTATATTACCCTTCTCCACCCCAAAAGTATGAACTAACGGACTAACCTATCTAGTAGTGGCTCATAAATAGTATCAAAATCTTTCACATATAATTTTCTATGAGATATTTCACCTTGTACAAAATCAGTCGAAGGGTCAAAATGATTTTTTTCCTTTTTCCAGTAAAATTTCAAATGTTGTATCCTTTGATTCTATTTCATCTGTTTCAAACTCTTTTCTCTCCCTTAAAAGTAACTCCAAAGATTCAATAATATTTGTAAGATTTTTGTCATATATTTTGTAAGATTTAAAATTGACCGTTGTTTATCCCGTTCTCAACAACACAAATCACACTAACAATATTCTGTGCAAGTCTTTGACCAAAGTTCATGCTCAAATTCTTGTTTCAATTTAAACCATGTATCATAGATTTATAGGTTAACCTTCATGAAATCATTTAAGTATTAAATTTCTCCACCACTTCATAGCACAATTTGTGAATGACGAAATCACAATTGGAATAAATCCTGAATCAATAAACTTGAAGATGCTATAAGCTTGATCGATTTCTTCAACACATCTCTTAAATACATTGTGACAAAATAATCCATCAAATTAAAGAATTTTAAGCTTGAATTTATCCTCATCCCTAGTCTCACACCAGAAACCCATATATTTCCCACCAATATTTAATGCTCCAATCAAATTTGGATAATGCATACAATGAACAAGATTTAACTCCAACAAAGTCAATATCAACATAAGCAAATAAAACAAAAGCCTCCAAATTTCTGTTGTGCCCAGAAATGTAACAAATCTCACAAATGTCAATGCTATCTCACTTAAATTAATATAGCACTTTCATATGTAACTCCAGCACTCCAACAATTTAATGAGATGAACATGAAACAAATTAACAAGGCAAAATCTCACGGCAACATTCTATAGAGTTTTTAAAAAATATTACCAAGTTAATAAATTCAACGCAGGGCGGAAGGATTCACAACCTTATTCTGATATGAATTTAATGTGGATCTAAATAGACCCAATAAAACAGGAACGATGATAATACTCAATCCTCACAAGGTTTAGGGTTTCTTGTCAATTGCAGTCAGCAAGATGAACACAAATTGAGTATTTTTGGTTTTAACAAAACTGAATAAGCAAGCATAACACTTATCAATTTTCTGTCTAATGTTAACTTAATCAATCAATCAAAGCTGCCTTAATCCCATAAGTGGGGTCGGCTACATGAACCAAAAGTGATTATTCCGTGTAGTTATCAACAAAAAATCTTCCTCCTCCATCCCTTACGATCAAATGCCTCATTGTCATGCAAATTCATTATTTAATATCCTTCCTATCTCCTTCCAACCAAGTCATAATAAAAAACCAAAAGTGTTTTACATAATATGGCTTTATATAGCTGAAAATAAAAACCCAAATATAATTCTGGAATATTCCTACTAGATTAACATTAAAACACCAACTAATTAGAAATAAATTGTAGTGGAATTAAAACAAGACCACCATATATACCCATTACAACGGTACAACCTTGATTGTAATTTAAGTTATTTAACACAAACCCAAATATTAAAAGGCCCGGCATGATAATCAATATCACATGCTTAGATATATCTGCTTTTTTTGTTTCTCGTTTTTTTTTTTTTTCATGGATAATTGCCTGTCCTTCAGTTTTCTTCATTGGCTTATCTGACATTCCCAGACCCTTTTGTTGACGAGGTCCATACCAGGTTACTATTTTTAAGTGTAAGATTCTGTTTTGCATATGCCAATATAGTGAAAATTGGGATACTTCTCGAGAGATCAAAATGCTAGAAGAAAATAATTTGTGTTATTATTTGTTCATTTTTTATGCTAGCTAGCCTGGGTTATAGTTATGCATGGGAAACTATAGCCTATATTGACTTTAGTCATTTTTGCAGGCAAATGAGGAGACTGAACTTCCTGAGCATCTTCTTGGGACGGTACGGTTAAGTTGTCTCGAACTTGACTCAGCTGTAGAAGCTTGAGGCGGTATCAAAAGAATTTTTGATTCAGACATTATTGATCTCCATTCAAAGCATAGTAATACATTCTTTACTCATTTGCGTCCCCATTCTCTCGCGCAACTGAGTTGGCTTAAAATCATTATTGTACTGCTTAATAGCTTTATATTGCTCTCAATTGAAACTGTAATGTATTCTTCCATGCTCATTGGTTCAGCTTTTATCATAGAAAGTGCGGCAAATCCTAGCTGTTGTTGAGAATGATTTATATATCGCCAATATCGGCCTGTGTATATGTACTAATATACACTATAATATACAAAGTATATACAATTTGCCCAGGCATAACTCCATAGAAAGAACACAACAACGATCTAACCAAGTGTCAAGTAAAAGAAACAAGCAGATGAATCTACTGTCAAGGTTTAAAATTGAACTCTGGAATTCCAGAGCCAGATTAATATGACTGTTAATTAGTAATGAAGAAGAAAATCTTGTTCATTAAATGTGACAGAGAGTAACTTGAACGCCCCTTTTAATACTAATGTCATTATCAAGAACATTAGGAAGCAGCGGCGGAGCCACCCTTGTGCACGGTGGGTCACGTGACCTAGCACGAAAACAGAAAAGGTTAAAATATTAAATACTGCAATTGATAATGATATGTACTCCGTAGTCTAATGGTGGAGGCTTCATATTTTTAGACTAAAGTTACTAGTTCGACTCCCAGGGGAAGCTACTAGCGTTTTTTTTGTTTTTTTTTTTTCTTTTTACATATATCTACCACTACCTACTTAGCTCTCAAATTGGTAAATTGTTAAAGTCATTGTTCGAAATTTTTTTGGTAGTTTCATTAGTGACTTGTCATTATCCTTCTCCTTCCCCGTAACAGAGTAATGGTGACCTAGCACCCGTAAAATTCTGGATCCGCCACTGTTAGGAAGCAACTTGATAATTGCATGCTGCTACTTTGGCAATTAGCTTGTCGATTCAAATGCTTTTCTTTATCCTGTTAATATAAATAGCTGCTTCTGCACTGTAAAATTATTCTTTTGCATCAGAGATTATGAGTCTACTTGAAAGAAACTGATAATATCATCTAACATATAAAACAATACAATAAAAAAGGTGTCCTCCAAAATAAATTAAGTTTAACATAAAATAAAACATTACAATAAAAAAGGTGTCCTCCAAAGTAAAATAAGTTTCACATAAAATAAAACATTACAATAAAAAAGGTGTCCTTGAAAGTACACACCCATAAAACATCACAATAAAAAGGTGTCCTCTAAAGAACACATGCATAAAACATTACAATAACAAAGGTGTCGTCTGAAGTAAATTAAATGGAACTACTTCATGAGGAAAGGATCAAGCTCCAAGTCTGGTGCTGCTGCAGCTTCACCATTTCCCTACATACCAACACAATGGCATACATGATCAAGTTAAGAGCACATGAATAAATTATGGAGATTCAAAACGCATTAATAATGTTGTCTTGTTAGTAAAAATGGGTGATACCTGTTTAAGAAACCTCCCCACGATATCATCCAAGGATTCAGTACTATTCTGGCCAGTTGAGTCATCAAAAGACTTGTGAGCGTCGTTTTGCTGCTGGGATTGTGGAGAAGCATCTTCCAATTGGCTCAAGGATGGAACAGCAGTGATGTTGTTGTTATTCTCTCCTTGTGTCGGAGCTACAGCCGGGATCAAGGAGCTTGAGGCATTGGAAATGTTGCATAAGTTCATAAAATAATTCGGCTTTTGAACCTGTTGTCCCTGTGCTGGGATGTTAAAATCATTGAGACTACTTGGACGGTCTTGGATTTGGGCATTTGGATGACCCATAGATGAGGTTCCAAATAAAAAATCAAGAGGATTATCGTTGTGAGTTTGAGCATTGGGAGGAGTTATGTCAGCAGCAGAGACATTATTGTTGGATGGAATTGGAAGCAAGTTTTGTGGTGAAGAAAGTGGGTGAATAACAGGCTGAATAGGTTTCCCCCAGCTTACTTTGGCAGTAGAATCCAACGACATATTAATCCCAAGATTCGAAGATGATTGGGTGTCGAATTCTCTTGTGTTTAACATCATGGAGGAGGTTGGTGGTGTTGGTGGAGTAAGGAGAGGAAGCCTATTATTCATTTGCATGGTTGTTATCGTAGGATTGGCTTGCAACAAATAAGAAGCATTTTGGTTTGCAGAGAAAGGGAATGGATCAAACCTCACAGTAGCAGCATTGAAGGAGTTTGGAAATTGGGATGTTTGAAGCAACGGAGAAGAAGATATGCCTCTGAAACTAGCTACCCCAGTAGCAGCGTTCAAGCGACCTAGAACTCCTCCTGCATGATCTGGTAGGGATGAGTACCCAGGATAGCTTGCTGGCCCTGCCAGGCTGCGGTATACTCCATAGCCTCCCCCTATATGCGCCAGCGAATCCTCAGTCCCTACAGAAACAAGTCTACTTCCACCCGCCTGCAGATTCGAACCAGAACTTATCTTTCGGAGGTAAAGCCTGTATTTCTGTTTTTTTTTTTTTAAAAAAAACACATTATTAGGCCTTATATCAATTTCATACATAGTTACAGAAAATGAAAGAAATTACTACCTCCGTTACATATTATTTGTAACAATTTGACATAAAATAGAGAGGAAAAATGTCTAATTATTGCAAATAATATGCAACGGAGGTAGTAAATAAGATCGAGGCTTATAGATGGATGGACCTGCAAATGGCTTGCAACTTTTTCTCTTGTGAGTCCTTCAACGTTCATTAAGTCAAGAATTTTCTTAGGAAAGGCCTCTGCAAAAAGAAAAGAAATTACTAGTAAATAAGATTTATGCATTATTTTTTAATCAATGAACAAACTAATAGGAAGTATGCAGTGGTACTTACTATCAAGGCCTAATTGGTTGACAGCATCAACAAACTTCTGGTGTAGCTCAACCGACCAGAAAAGCCTAGGCTTCTTTTGGGTTGCAGGGTCTTCGTTTCCTTGACCACCCTCATCCATATCATCATCGTCGTCGTCATCATCATTGTTGTTGTCACCTCTGGAACCTTCCTGAGGGCCATCTCTCCTATTTCCAGATGCATTGCGACCAGGACCACATTTACCACCGCCTGCTGCTTTCTGCTTCCTCCTAACGATATGCTGCCATATATTTTGGAGCTCCTGAATCCTCACCGGTTTCACCAAATAGTCACAAGCACCATTCCTAACGCCGTCCATCACTCGTTTGGTATCGCTATAGGCTGATAGCACTGTCAAAGTTGAAAAAGCCCATATCATAATCCTCGATAATAATAATATTATATCTAGAGGAGTGAGGGCCTATATTGTATCTCGACTTCTTACTGAATTCTTTTAAAATATACGACTTTGTGGGTTTAATTTATATTATAATTATAATAATTATTATTATTATTGTTATTATTATTATAACAACGGTAACAATAAAAACTAAACTAATGTATGAGGGGGTACGGTGGCTAAATTATAAGTTAAACTTCAGCAAATAACATCAAGAAATGATATCTCTATAGAATTTATAGTGACATGTTTTGATCATGACTGTATTTACCGTGACACTTAGCATATATAGATTCAAAGAAACAACTATATCCAAATTAATCTGGGTGCATGGTACCAATAATTAATTATGACGGTATGTTTATGACATTAAATTAATAATTATTACGTTATATTTATTTTAAAATTTTGTTTCACCAAGGTTATTGAGATAAGAAAGCTAAAATGGGTTAAGAGGATCTTACTGATGACGGGTAGATCCATTTCAAGACCCAAGATCTGAAGGAGTTTGATACCATTCATGTCCGGCATTTCAACATCGCTGATCACTATGTCATACTTATTTTTGTTTGCTTTCAAAATGCGCAGTGCCTCCTTTGCTTGGTTGGTTGTAGTAACTATTTAATACATAAAATATATATACAATAAATCATTAGGATTGAAAAAAAAAATAACAATCTATGTTTCTTAGATTATAATTGATACCGATTTATCTTTCAAAACCAAATCTAAGACTAAACAATTGAAAACAGAATACAAAATTACACACTTTATACGTCTTCATAGCGTGATTATATATATATATATATATATATATATATATATATATATATATATATATATATATATATATATATATATATATATATATATATATATATATTTTGGGTTATTAAGAGTTTCTTTTGAAATACACTAGATTTTCTAACAAAAAGTGTATGTACATATATATCTTGCATCAATACTAGCATTCGCTCAGGCAGAATGGAAAAAGCATACAAAGGATCAAAAGATTTAAAACTACAAACCCTCCATTTTGTGTGTGTATGTGTGGGGTAGGGTGGGTGTAGGGTTACTTCAATAGAAAAAGGGTTAAAAAGTAACAACACAAATATATTAATTATATCAAAACAAATACAAGTATATGAATTATGAATATAAAATTAAAAGGGGGCGGGTGAAAGAAATACATACCATGAAAGTGACATTTTCTAAGAAGGTTGTCCATCAACTTGAGAGAAGTATTATCATCATCAACAACAAGAACCCTCAATCCTTTAGGAAAACGCTCATTTTCTAATGAGGCCATTTTCACACACTAGTTTGGAGAAAATAAAAAAGGAAAAGAACTGGTGAATAAATTATTAGAGAGAAAAAAGATGTGAGTAATTGATTGGTGAAAATTTTATGGTAGAATAGAAGACAGTATTTAGTATATATAGACACAATGTATATGTACTTATAACGTGACTGAGACCAATAATTACATTAATTATTTCAATAATAATTAAAAAAAATGGATAATACTGATAAAAAAGGTGATAAAAGAAATATAGAAAAGATGAAGAATAAGTCGGTTATATATTAATTATGAAATTTTGAAATGAGAAAAGAGTTGGATTTTGTAAAATTAAGCGGGGGAATTGAGGTGAATGTATTGTGTACAAGAGAATGACGGTAAATGACTCGTGTTTAAATGTTTATGGTTTTTTAGACGGTTTTGTTCTTATAGAATTGTTATTAAGGTGAATCACATATACAATTTCTTAATTGTTTTTTTTAATGCCCTTATTATTTCCCTTTTCTTCCTATTTCCACTTGTTTTTATTACCTTTACATTAATGCTAACATTAATAATTTAGTATTATATATTAGGAAACCTATCCAATTTGATACAAAATTATTATTGATATTATTTAATTCAATGAATCCTAAATGATACAATACTTAGATGGATGGATATGTTAGTAATAAGGGATATGATTGTGTCCATTTTATGACTTATTTGCTTACATAATAAGAAGATATGACAGTATCAGAAATAATCTGTATGGGTACAATAATAATTGAGGGTCTCCAATAAATATGTATGAGCTTGCAAATAAAAATGAAATAGTTGTGGTAATATCAAGTTTGATACTCTTTTTTTTTTTTAAATAAATAAATAAAATCAAGTTTGATACTAGACCAAAAAAAAAATCAAGTTTGATATTTTACTGGTGTGGATATGAATTAAACACGTGGCATATGTATCACTCTTGATACGTTGACTAGGTTGACTATTTGGATTTTTTTTTTATTCTTTATTATATAATATGATGTTAAGGTCTGTTTTGATTGATTGAAATAAGCTGAACTGAACTGAACTTATTAGAGCTGAACTGAATTAAACTTAACTGAATACTCCCTCTGTTTTTAAATACTTGCTCCATTTCTATTTTCTGCAATATTCATTTGTCCTACTTTGACTAATGTTTGTTATTTATACATAAGTTTAAATATAGTCTTGTGTGTATTTGTTGGAATCATCTCAATGAATAGATTATTAATTTTCAATTGTTAGAATTTATACTTATTGATAATTAAAGATAGTAGTGATCAAAGATTAGCATCGGCATGTGTGTCCAAGAGAAATGGAGCAAATATTTAAAAACGGAGGGAGTATTTTATACTCCCTTCGTTTTTTTATATGCATCACTTGGTGATGCGCGGAGTTTTAGAAGAATAATATAATATTGTGTGTGGATGAATAATTTATTATAGTATAAGTAAGATGGGGACCATAGAGGAGAGAGAAATGATAAAATATAGTATAAAGTTTCCAAATAAGGAAGTGATGCATTTAAAAAAAACACCCATAAAAAGAAAGTGATGCATATAAAAAAAAACGGAGGGAGTAAGAGAAAGAATTTAGGAGTTGAACTGAACCGAAAAGAATTGTATGTGAACAGACCCTAAGTCAAATAAATAAAAAAGGAAGTAAAAAGAAAAATAGATGGAAGAATGAATAATAGGTAAATGGGCCTGTAGGGTGGTAGGCAGCATGGTATGGAAATGCAAATGGATGGACATGGATATGATAAAAAAAATAGCCCAATATAATACTTGCTTGTATTAAGAAGGGACGCCCAAACTAGAACAATAGCCCAATTTGTTTCTTTATGAAAAAAGTGATAGGCCGACGTAGTAGTGGTAGACTGGGAAGTACTCAGTAGTGTGTAAGTCAGTAAGTGTGTTTGTGTGTGACAGCAGTTACTAGTTAGTGTTAACTGTTAAGTACTCGTAGTTGGGAAGATGGATCTACAATCTAGTCCGTAATCTGTGTTCTTGTTCCCCTCGAAATCGTCTTCTCTGACTCTGGTAAGTAGTTGCAGTTGAAGCAATACTACATTCAATTCAATGAGCGGTTCAAGTTCGAGTTCTCGGGGAGCAGGCGGTGGCTGGTTGAGATGGTGTTTGGTGATGTTTGCAGTGACCTCCGCACTGTGCGTGTCTGCTCCTGCTCTTTATTGGAAGTTGAATCATCATCATCATCATCAACAACACTTGTCTTCTTCATCTTCTTGTCCTCCTTGCTCCTGCGATTGCCCTCCTCCTCCTTCTCTCCTTCAGATTGCTCCTGGTAACTTACTTACTTCCTTAATCAATTTACTATCTCCGTTTCATATTATTTGCAACAATTAGATATTTTCCTCTTTACTGTCAAATCATTGCAAATAATATGAAACGGAGTTAGTATCACTACTCTTTCTATTTTTGATTCAACTCTCTTTCTTTCTTCTTTTGTTCCAGGATTGGCCAATCTTTCCGTCCCAGGTATTCATTCATTCATTCGTATTTCGTAACCCTAGATTCAATTGCAATATTAATCAATTAATTAATTATTATTATTATTATAAACTGTCTCTGGCAGATTGTGGGCAGAATGACCCGGATCTGAAGAAAGAAATGGGAAAGCAATTTGTGGATCTGCTCACAGAAGAGCTGAAGCTGCAGGAGAGTGTTGCTGCAGAGCACGCGCATCATATGAACGCCACATTGACGGAAGCAAGAAGAGTTGCTTCTCAGTACCAAAGAGAAGGTGACAAATGCATTGCTGCTACTGAAACCTGCGAGGCTGCCAGGGAACGCTCTCAGGATTCCATCAGGAAGGAGATCAAGCTTACTTCTTTGTGGGAGCGTCGCGCTCGCAACTTAGGCTGGGAGGACCATTAATTCTAACTTACCAAATGTATCACCTTCATACCTCACTTTCTTTTTGCTGCTTATTCATACCGCCTTCCTATCTATCAACTTGCTTTGCATTTGTCTATATTAAAATCAATTCAATGTGTTATTACAATATACTACACTTGTCTTATGGCTCAATAGTCTGAATCTTGCCCAAACTATGTGTTGCTTGGTAGACTGATGAGAGAAGTAAAATAGTGTTCATCTGCGAACCTGTTTTACAATCACACAACATGTATTCAGCTTAACTTTTACTCAATGACCAAGGAGTCAAAATATTTCATCATGTACTACTGTACTTTCCCTTCCTTGACTTGTCTTGATTATTTGTGCTGGTCGTTTAATGTCCTTCATCTTTATTGCTAGCCTAGGTCATGGTTATGCATGGTTGGAAAATATTAACTTTTGGATAACAAAGGGGCAGGTAAAAGAAGGGGAGGGACGAGGGAGGGAACGGAAAGGGAAGATAGGAAAGAATGATGACTTTTCCTTCTACATTGTTAGAGAGATCAATTTCTTGCAATTTGATCCCTCAAATTTCCTTCATTTCTCATTTGCTATCTAAATGAAAGATGCTTCATTGCTCCATTTCCCTTCCTTCCCTTTCCCTCCATTTCCTTCAATCGAAGCACACTCCTACAATTTTTGGAAAGCAAAGAAGGAAGGTGAGGAAAAAGGAAGAATGGTAGGGAAAAGAAAGGAAAAAGAGAAGGCGCGTTCCATTTTCCTTCAAAATATCTCCAATTTTGGAGGGATTTATTCTCATTAAAGATCTCGTTTCCCTAATCCTCTAACCAAATATGAGACATTGTTCTCCTCCCTTTATCTTCTCATCTTTTCCTTGCATTTCCTTCTATCCAAATAATGTATTAGTCAATTTTTCTGTAAAATTACGAGACTTTAACTTTTTTATGACTTTCTTGGGACTCTAAGGTTAAATTGTCTCGCCCATAGGGGCTTAAGCCGTAAGAAGGGTTCAATATTCAGACAATATGATCTCCATTCAAACCATAATGTAGTCCTTACTCATGTGCATCCCCATTATGTGAGTTGGCTTAATTTTATCACTAAACTGCTTTCTAACTTTATATTGCTTTCCATTTAAACCATAATGTATTCTTTTGTGACGATTGCTGATTGCTTTAGCTGGATCATAGGAACTGTGATAAATCCTAGTTGTTGTTCAAAATAATTTGCAAATTGGTATCGGCATACATACTTATATACTGTACTTTGTAAACCGGGGGCACATCTGTTAAAAGATGATAACGCAGGTGTCCTAAGATGAGCTCAACGAGAACAAAAATCTCGTGTGGAACAGAAGGGTAAAAGCTCGTCTGATTCTGGTTTTCAGTATGAATATGAACCGTGAAAGTGTGGCCCGAAGATCCTTTAGACCTTATGAATTAAAAGCTAGAGGTGTCAAGAAAAGTTACCACGGGGGCTTGTGGCAGCCAAGCGTTCATAGCAACGTTGCTTTTTGATCCTTTGATGTCGGCTCTTCCGATCAATGTGAAGCAGAATTCATCAAGTGTTGGATTGTTCACCCACCAATAGGGAATGTGAGCTAGGATTAGACCGTCGTGAGACAGGTTTGTTTTACCCTATTGATGACAGTGTCACAATGGTAATTCAACCTAATAAGAGAGAAACCGTTGATTTACACAATTGATCATTGTGCTTAGTTGAAAAGCCACTTGTGCGAGCTGCTGGATTATGACTAAACGCCTAAGTCAGAATCCGGTCATAAAAGCGACGCATGCACCCACCGTCCAATTGTCGTCCTACAATAGGGGCTTCGGTCCCCAAGGGCACTTGTCGTAGGCTAAGCTCACCCGGTGGATGCGCCGTGAGAGCCGCCTTGAAGTACATTTCCTACCGAGCGGCGGGTTTAATCCTTTGCATCCTTTGCAGACGACTTAAATATGTGACATGGTATTGCAAGTGGCAAAGTGGCTTTGCTGCCACAATCCACTGAGATTCAGCTATATGTCGCTTCGATTCGTCCCTTCTCCCACTCTATTCCCTAAAAACCACTTATATTTTGGAAAACGAGGTTAGCGATGCTTTTTATATGCTAGAATATGCTAGGTACTGGATTGAGACAAGTCACAGTGTTGGAGTGTGGGATGTTGCAAGGGCCAAGGAGGCGTGTGGCATGTGCACCACATGACAAAGCATTCAAACAACTAGTTTTTTCGTTTGAGGGTATGCCGTCTTTGTCTTAAGACATGATTATTAAGGATGAATCAGGTGGTTCTTTAAGGCACTTTGTGAGCCTATGTAATTACTAGGATGCATAATCTTGCTGGATGAGAAAATGATGTATGGAAGCCAAATTTGAAGGTTATAATACACGAAATCAGAGCACTTTAGAAGGTGTCAAGACCCGGTGTTAGAAATTCACGAAATTATACAGAATGCATGTCGGGGTCATATGATGTTGTTTGGACCCATATACGACCATAAGTCAACTACATTAAGGCCCCGTTGAAGCTTATAGCCAATACTAGAGGCATGTACGAAAGTGGATAAAATTAGATGCTGAAAGACAAATTGGATGGTTCCACCCACCCAATTGGACCCCCGGAGGGTATTAGGGTATATAGGTAGCTTCTCGGCAGTTTTTGTTTTCGGGTCAAAAAAAGTCAAAAATTGGCAAAATTGAAGGCTATATAATACACGCTTTTTGGCCAATTTCGAAGGTTTCGGGACCTGGTGTCAAAAAGTGTCGAGATACTAAGGGATACATCCCGGGGTTATATAATGTCGTTTGCAAACATATATGATCATTATATGTTGACATAAATGTCTGTGGTAGCCTCGAGTTTATGAAATCAGTGCAAGTTGTAAAAGCGTAAATAGATAATGTAAAGGCATATTGGATGGTTTTACCCACCTAAATGGACTCCCGGGGTATATTAGGGTCCATGGGAAGCATCTTGGCAATTTTTATTTTCGAGTCTAAAAAAGTGAAAAGTTGTCCAAAATGGAAGGCTATAATACAAGATTTCAGGTCTTTTTTTGACATTTTTTTTTTAAAAAAAAAAACTGAATGCATGGGGTGACTCCTAGGGTTATATAAGGTGGTTTGAAACCATAACACGCCTATAAAGATGTCTATAAAGTAACAAGAATAAGATCTGTTTCTATTTTGAAATTCATGAAATTTTGAAATATAATGATGTCATATTACTCATATATGTATAATAATGTGAATTGGCTTGATTATAATGATGTCATAAAAGTATAATGAAGTGACGTGACTTGGCAATAATGATATTATATGAATCTAATGATGACATATAAGTGTAATCATATCATATTATGTAATTATGTTTATAATGATGTGACTTCATAATATGACGTGACTTGACAATAGTGATGCCATATGAGTATAATAATCTTATACAAGTAAAATGATGTCATTTAACCATAATAGTGGCGTGATGTGATGTGACTTGACACTATGACTTGGAAAAAAACACTTGGTATGATGTAAGTATGGATAGTAATACTACTATTCACATGTGTGTTGATTTTTGTGATGTGATGTGTTGATTGATAGACTATGGATAATCGTAATACAATATATGTTTGTAACCTAAGTATTACATCTTATCTCATATTCCATCATCAATTAACACAAACTGTCCCTCAAGTCCGAGGTCAATTGGCACATTCCCGGTCCAAAACAGCCCTAAACCTTATAAACGCGCAATATTGGTAATATGGGATGTACTAAAGTATTAAAACCCCATCCCCCTACTATTCAAGTCTTTTTCCCCATCTTTTGGGACTGTTTCGACAACTTTTCCCGTCTTTCTAATTTCCGCCTTTTTCCCTGTATTTTCCATTTTTGTGGCCCATAAAAAATAATTTTTGGAAAAAAAAAGGTGTCAAAATAAAGATTAATACCCATTCTTCGGATTCCACCAAAAAAAACTGGGTGTTATTATCACATTTTCACAAGTTTTGACCCATTATTGTGTTAATATCAGTCGGGGTTCCATATAAAGCTTGTTAGGGGAAGGTAGGCAACTCAAGCTTGAATAGCCAAAATTTAGTTATTCAACCTTGGGGTAAGTAATGTGCATTGCTAGACACTAGTAGAATGCACACAAAAATCTCCTCCCTTTCTCTTCTCATCTTTTCCGCATTTCCTTGTGTCCAAACAATGTATTAGTCAATTTTTCTGGAAAATTATGGGACTTTAACTTCCTTTGCACTTTCTTGGGACTCCAAGGTTAAATTGTCTAGAACATGATTCACCCATAGGGGCTTAAGCCGTAAGGTGGGTTCAATATTCAGACAATGATCTCCATTCAAACCATAATGTAGTCCTTACTCATGTGCATCCCCATTATGTGAGTTGGCTTAATTTTATCACTGAACTGCTTACTAACTTTATATTGCTTTCCATTTAAACCATAATGTATTGTTCTGTGCTGATTGCTTTAGTAGTGATCATAGGAACTGTGATAAATCCTAGCTGTTATTCAGAATGATTTGCAATTTGGTACCTGTATGCATACTTGTATACTGTACTATATGTACAAGGTATTTGCCCTGGCATTGCTCCATTAAAACAAACACAGCATCTTGTCTACTTCATCTCGTTTCGCTATACAAATAAAACTGATAGTGTTACTTGAATGCTCCTTTTCTCGTTTCGTTATACAAATAAAACTGATGCAGTGTTACTTGAATGCCCCTTTTCTCGTTTCGTTATACAAATAAAACTGATGCAGTGTTACTTGAATGCCCCTTTTCTCGTTTCGTTATACAAATAATACTGATACAGTGTTACTTTTTTTTGAAAATCAGGATGCATTAATTAAATATTAAAGTTATTACAAGCCAAACTCGCTGGGACATCACCAGTCAAATGATTCATAGAGTTAGTAGAACAAAAGTTAAGGTCTTTCTCAAAAGAAACAATACAAACAGCTGGTGGTTGCATCAAAATACAAGTTTCATTCATGCGAGTCAGGTTGGCTCTTGCATCCTTGGCTAGCACGTTGGCTACTCCATTGCTGCTCCTTTCCTCAAAGAGCATATCCTGATGGAGCTCCATCTTGAGGTCCCTGCAATTAGTGAGTATTGTAGGAGCATTAGCGGTACAATCCGGAGAATTAATTTCTAGTACAGCCCTCTTCGCATCAGAATAGATCAGAACATTAGTCCAGCCTCTGTCCTTTACTAATTTCAGCGCTAACTCGATGGATTTCAATTCTGCATCATGGCTTGAGGGGAGATAGTTCTTCCAAACTAACCCCTCAATCCATTCACCCGTGCTGCCTCGACA